GCAACTCCTGTCCAGAGGCGTGATGAGAAGGCAGAGAGGGTCAGGAGCTGGTTGGGTGGGATGGAAATCCGGGATGGAAAGTAGTGTGCTGTCACAGTATAGGGAGAGCAAGTAGGGTCACATAACAATGTACGTATAAATTTTTGTATGAGAGACTAACTTGTATTGTAAACTTTCACTTAAAGCACAACAATAAAAAAAAAAAAAAGTAGCCTACAGTAGGCACTCAATAAATCTTTGTTGGAAAAAAAAAAAAAAGTTTGGCTACTAACCAAAAGGTTGGCAGTTGAATCCACCAGCCTCTCCTCGAAAGCTCTCTGGGGCTGTTCTACTCTGTCCTATAAGGTCACTATGAGTCAGAATCGACTAGACAACAATGGGATTTTTTGGTTTTAGACAGTGCATGAAACGCTTCCTATGCACAGTGTCATTTAAGTCTCACAAGAAACACTTGATAAGGGTAACTGTCCACATACCCACTTTAGAGATGAGGGAACGAGGGTGCAGGAGGGTTAAAGATTTCCCATGGCCACACGCTCAGACAGTCCCCACTCAGCAACCCGGCTCTGAGGGAACTTTTCTGGGCAGACAGAGTTTGCAGCCCAGCTCAAAACATGGATGAGGCAGCAGTGTGAGCCCCCCAACCCCAACCCACCGGGGCAGTCCCCTCTGTGTCCACCCCTAACCAGGGCAGCCAGAACACCTCCTGGGGAGGAGACCACCCAGTCGTCCAGGAAGTGCTCATTACCCAAGAGTGACAGGGCCACTCCCGGCCACGTCTCCAAGCAAGCCCAGTGTACCCTCCTTCTGTCTCCTCCGACTAGATGTTGTAGGCCAGACTAAAAATAGCCAGGCAGGCTGGCCACCCGGGGGCGGTGGGGGCGCGGTGGTATGCGCTGGGCGCGGACACAGGATCCATCCGAGGTCAGGGTTGCCTGGAGCCAGGAAAGTCTGCAGTGCGGACTGTGTGCTTGCCTCGCCCCACTTGGGGCAGGACTCTTCTCGGAGCCTCTGGGAGGAAATGCCTCTGACCAGCCACGGGATGGGCAGCGGTGCAGGGAAGACTCTCCGGGCTCTGTGTTTCCTGCTGCTGCTCCTCAGAGCTGACTCTGCCAAGAATCTCTGGAAGCGGGCGCTGCAGGCAAGGCTGCCGGAGAAGTCCCGCGTGAGTGCTGAGTGCCGGGTGGGGAGCTGGGGCTGCCTCTGCCGGCGGAGGCATCAGGGGGTCCCCACACACTGCATATGCTCCTTCTGACTCCCTTGACCTAGCAGGGCTGGTGTCTCTGTATCTCAGTGCTGGGAGTGGGGGGTGGCCTGGGAAGACAGCCCACAGAAGGCTCCTGACCTGTAGGTAAAGAGGCAAAGCACTTCAAAACGTGCAGAGGGTTGTGCTACTGGCTTCTGCTTTCTCGTGGAAAACAGCACCTGGTCTAAGAGTCAGGACTTAAGGCTGAGTGTTCGTCTAAGTGATCAGTGAGCACGTGCTTATGAAATATAGTTTGCAGTCATATGGTTGTTTATTCATTTGAAAAACACTAGTAGATACCACTCCGGGCCAGCCACTACGCTGGGTCCCGTGGGTACAGGATGAAGGAGACACCAGCTCCCTCCAGCCCTCGAGGATCTCATGGCTGAGGGTGGGGGCAGATGGGAATAGGAGGAAGTGAGGGCACGGCCAAGTGGGAGAAAAGCACGGATCCTGGAGCCCTGTCTGGGTTTGAACCCAGGCTCTGCTACCACCAGCTATGTGCCTTCAACAAGTTGTTTGACATCTCTGAGCACCCATGAGCTCAGCTGTAAAAGACAAGGTTACGCATGTTTTTCAACAAATCCATTTTGATAGCCGCTGTTTACCAAGTAGGAGCTAACAAAATGTCGGCAGTTGGAACCCACCGGCCTTCCATGGGAGAAAGCTATGGCAGTCTGCTTCAGTGAAGATTTACAGCCTTAGAAATCCTATGGGGCTGTTCTACCCTGTCCTATAGGGTCACTCTGAGTTAGAATTGACTCGACGACAATGGGTATGGTTTTTGGTTTACCAAGTACTGTCACAGGCCATGGGCACACAGACATTGATCCCTGCTCCCTGGAGCCCATGCTACCATGAGGGTGGCAGAGAATAAGCAGGCAATAAAAGGAAAGTGTATACTGTGCTCAGTGACAAATGTCAGGGGGAGAGAGAAAGCGAGGGGACTAGGAGTGAGAGGCATGTGTGTACTTTAAGCAGCCCCTCTTCCCAGGCAGGTGGTGATGGAGTGAGCCAGGAGGTACTCTGGTCATAGAGGATCGAGAAGATAATAACACCACTCTTGACATATTTGTGAGGATTAAGTGACTCAGTACCGTAAAGCGCTTAGCACATAGCAAGCACATCATCTTGGGGACTTTCAGTCAAATAATTGTGAAATTCTGGGTGGAGGGTAGGTTCCCCAGGGCAAGCCTGATTCTGTCTTGTTCAGTGAGGTGTCCCCAGTATCTTGGGAGGGGCCTGTCATTCAGTAGGTGCCCAACACATTCGCATGGGCGAATAATGGCAAAATGCAGAGGAAGCACAGAAGAAAATGTGTGTAGCTCTTCCCTGGAGAGTCAGGGAGGATTTTCTAAGAGTTGAGGACTTTTGACTTGGGGTTGAAGGGATGAATAGGAATTTGCCAGGTGGAGAAGAGGGAAGGTAAGTGTTTAATGAAACTTTATTAAAGCTAATCTCTGTCTCCAGGGGCACGCACTCACCAAGGCCAACAGGTGCTCACGGAGAAAGACAGGAGACCATGTGGGAGTGGAAAAGAGTAATAGGGATTGAAATGATGGTGGATGAGATGATGAAGTCAGTCACAGAAGGCTTCCTGGAGAAGGTGGAGACCCTGACCAGATCTTGAAGAAGTACAAAGAATTAAGTGGAGGAAGGGCATTCCTGGCTCAGCAAGAGAAGAGGTTTGGGGGCAGAAACATTGCATCTGGGAGACCCTTAGGGGTCCTCAATAAGGTGGAGAGATCCTTGTCAGGTTTGACCTCCTCCATTCTCTTTGCTGGCCCAACAGGGCAATTTAATCTTCACATTTATTTAGCATTTTCTTCTAGGACTGCGAAGAGATTTTCCATACATCATCTGATTTTATCTGTACCATGTCCCAGAGTGTCGGGGTGAGGGGCACCATGACATCCTCTTTGAGAGGACCAGGGAGGCTGGGAGGGCTGGGAGGATGCATGGAAGGGGGGAGGGGGCAGTGAGGTGGTTTCTTTAAAACCACAGGCCTGAGTGGGCTTCAGGAAGTGAATTACTCCTAATCACCATCTGTCAGGATGAAAATGCCCTAAGTTTACCCCTCATCAAACGGAAACTTTCCCCAGTTATCAACAAACCTTGGCCCCTCCCCACATGGAGACAGGTTTGTGTGAACATGCCTCAGAGAAAGCACCCAGGAAAAAACAGCCTCTTGAGTTGTGGCTCAGAGGACAGGGAGGCTGGGCAGGGTGCCTGGCCATGAAATTCATGGAAGCCACATCTCTAAAGAGCTGTGTGACCTTGGGCCACTCTCTAACCCTCTCTGTGCTTCAGGTCAGTAGCAGTGAAATGAAGGTGAGGGACCAGATGACTTACAAGGCCTTTTCAGTTCTGATTCTAATTTCTACGCCAGTGTCCAACAGGGAACTTGGGGGTAGTGGGAAGCAGCCCCACACACACTCTGGATGGGCACCCCCCATGCTGAGTACAACTTTAGCCGTTGCCGGGACCCCAGTGGGCTCAATAATGTCATGTTGGTAGCTTGAAATCAGCTATGATGGCAGTATTTACACCATGGGAATTGGCAAAGGCTATCATTCCTCGGATTGTTGGTTGTTGAACATTGACCAGCCCATTGCTCTGGGAGTAAACCCTTCTTACCTGTGAGCTAGACCCCCCTGTCCTTTTGAGATGGGACTGGAGGAAGAGCTGAGTTCCTCATGGCCTCATCCCGCCTTCTCAGAGCCCATCCTTTGGCAGAGTGATTCTTCGTTTAGGGGTTGGCCTCTCAGTTGGAGCGGGAGTTGGACTTAATTTCCAGAACATTGTTTGTGCTTTATGGTCCAAACACTTGATAGTGCCAGAGGGGAAGACACTTGCTTTATATTCCCATGGGAGGCCCTAGCTCTGTGATGTTGAGTGAGTTTCGTCTCCTCTCTGAGCCTCAGTTTCCTCATTGGCAACATGGGATACGGCAGTGCTGGCTTTGCAGGGTTAAATGAAAAGATCATGTGAAGTCTTTAGCCCCATGCCTGGTATAGAGCCACATTCTCTGTGTGTGCTATTAGAAAAGAAAGAAACTAAATACTTAAGATGCTAAATAAGACAGAAACAGGATGTTTGTAAATAGTCCATTGACTTTCCGGAGAGCTGAGGCCCATTTCTGTGGAGCTGATGTTCTGGCTTTTCTTTCCTGGCAGCCAGTGAAGCTCGCAGGAACCATGATTTACCGAGCGTGTACTCTGTATCCAGCCATGTGTTCAGCGTGTGTTAACTCTTGAGATCCTTCAGCAAATCTCCTGGTGGGGTCCATCGCAACCGCTATGCTGGCCTGGAACCAGGAGGCCTTACCGTCTCTGTGAGCCGCTGTGGCTATGGGTCTGTTCTGTGTCCCTCAGCTCCCTCCTGGGACAGCTAGGAGTGGTTGTGCCATGTGCGCCTCGCCCAGACACCGCCCACCCCGAGGCCTCTCTGTACTCCAACCTCCTGGAGGGGGCATCTTTGGTAATGAACACAAAGGCCCCATGACAGCCAGTTGCAGCCCTGCAACTTGTGTTCCTGTTTCCCCAGCCTGCTTCTCTGTTCCCGTTACTTCTGTGAGCTTTGAGGACCTTCCAATACAGCCTTTAATTGTAAGAGTAAGAGGGGCAGCCACTCCTGGCGCTCTCCCCTCCCCTCTGCTCTCTTCATTCCCTGACCTTTGCTCTGTAAGCACCTGGCCTACCGCTCAGCTGCATGCAGGACAGGCCAACGTGCTGGGAGTAGTGCCGGTGGGAGCACATGGGAGGTGGGAGCACATGGGAGGTGGGCACACACGCCCTGGCCGCCTTGCCCCTGGGCGGGACTCCTCTGCACAGTGTTCTACACCCTTTCCCAGCGGCCCCCTGGGCTTGAGCTCCAGTTGCCCAGGCACTCCCTTGCTCACTGACTCTCCTGAATTGGCTCCTTCCCTCCCCTGCCCCCCTCTCCCATTCCCCTGCTGGAGCTTCCTGGGACACACTCCCCCAAATATACTTAAACTGAAACCAAACCAGTTGCTGTCAAGTCATTTCTGACTAATGGCAACTGCACGTGTCTGGGTAGAACTGCTCCATAGGGTTTTCAGTTGCTGAGTTTTTTGGAAGCAGATTGCCAGGACTTTCTTCCAAGGTACCTCTGGGTGGATTTGAACAGCCAAACCTTCAGTTAGTAACTGAGTGCTTAACTGTTTGCATCACCCAAGAACGCCCCCAAATATACTCCTTGCACTCAAATCCTAGTTTCAGGTCTGCTTCTGGGAAAGAACACAGTCGGCTTCCATTGCTTATAACCGCCAACCCTGACTTAGATCAAAACATTTACAGATAAGGAAATAGAGGCCATAGGGGAAGTGGCTTGGTCTGAACCATCCTGGCCAGAGAGAGGGGAAGCTACACACAGTCCTTGGAGTCCTGGGGGCTTCTCCTGCTCCTTGAAAGATGGGAGATCCTAACCCTGTAGTGTTACAACGACCACTGAGAGGCCTTCATCTGATGAGCAGGGGTGCTCAGTGAGTCCTGGAGGGCACATGGCAAGGCCCTTGGCAAACCCTGGGTTCTCCCTGGGGGCTGGAGAGAAGGAAGTGGCCTACCGAAGCAGAGCCGAGGGTCAGGCACAGAGCCTGGCCCAACACAGGCTCTCAGCCACATTGTACAGTGGAGAGTGGGTGGGTGGGAGGAAGGAAAGTAAGCGAATAGTATGACTTTCACTTTCCCTCTCTGGACCTCAGCATCCTCTACTGAGTTTCTAGCCCTGAACATCCAAGTGGAAATGAGAGAGCGAAGAAACACCCCAAGTATCCTGTGCAGTTACAGTCTGGGAGCTCACACGCGAGAGGCAGGTGGGAACTCAGGCTAATCCAAGGTGCACTCTGGGAGTGAGGCTGGAGGAGCAGATGAGGGTCCGCTCTGTGTCCTTAGCACCGTGTGGTGGGGATTCAGCGGGAGCTGGTTCACCACGCCGAACCCTTGTCATGTCTGAGTCTTGTGGCCACCTCTCTCAAGAGCCATTCCTTAGGCTCCCCGTTCTCATTCCCCTAAACGTCCTCATAGCATCCCGGCTTTCCATTGTGGCACTTAGCTCTATTATTATTATCTGCAAGATTTGTTTTTTATTGTAGCTTTCTTCGGTTTTCCATTAACTATTTTTGTAGCTGACAAAAATAAGCAATTGGTTTGCTTTACCCGTGTGATATTTTGTTTAGCGTCTGTCACTTGTCCTGGCACTGTGACCCGTGTTAAGGCAGAGGCAGGGTCTTCCGGTTGGACTAGCCCCCCCTCCCCACGCCCAGCCCGGTACCTGGCATGTAGCTGCCTGAGAATTATGAATTTGTTATTAAGTGACTGAATATATGACGCCAAAACTGTCTAGAGGAGAACAGAGGGATTAAGCTGCTCCTAGGAGACTTTCAAGGTCCCTGGGTGGCACAGACAGTTGGCACTCGGCTACTAACCCAAAGGCTGACGGTTCAAACCTACCCAACGGTGTTGTGGAAGAAAGGCCTAGCAATCTGCTTCCGTAAGATTGCAGCCAAGAAAACCCTATGGAGCTGTTCTGAGGGTGCCATAAGTCAGAACCAACTGGAGGCCAATGGGTTTGGTTTTTGGTTGGTTTTAGAAGACTTTTAGGCCCACAGCAGTGCTCAGCAGTCCCTGGTTGAAGGAGTTGGTCAAGTCTGTGTTCTTACTCTCGGCACATACTGCAAATGGGTTATAACTTTACCCCTGGCATCCGGTGTGTGATCCCGGACTTTTGAGGACCTCTCCCAGGAAGTCTCGTTAGCCTTGCACCAAATCCTTCTCCCAGATCCCAGTTCTGAGGTCCCAGAGCACCAGGAAATGGCATGTGTCAACTCATGCTGAACTCTAACCCCTTTGTTCCAAGGAGGGACATATTTTTAGATCTTTGACGTTCAAATTCCAGAGGAAGAGCAAGTAATGCTTAGAGGAAAATTAGCTTTCTTCCTCCACCAAGAAAACCGGTCCTAGAGTGCCTTTTTATTGGTCTAGCTGTTAGGTCTCTGGAACATTCCAGAGAAGGGTAGAATAGAACTCTTGCAATGAAGAGGGTGGGGCACTGAGGGAGGAACATGGGTAAATCCGGGCAGCTTTAGAGTTTAGATTCTTCTTCCCAAAATGGAAGTGGCTTACATTTTTTTTCCCGATGATAAAAACACTGATGTAAAAAAAAAAAAAAAAATCAGACAATACAGAAAATTATAAATAAGTAAAAATTATCTAAATTCTTCCTCTGAGACCTAAGTTCAGTTGATATTTTGGTGTGCGGGTGTGTGTTTGTCCAGAGTTTTTCATAAAGCAGTTGTACACAGCATACTTTTTTTTTCTTAATGGAATTTTATACATACTGGTTTTTTTTTTTTTTTCCCCTTTTTTATTGAAGTGAAGTTCACACCTCATAAAATGAATCATTTTAAAGTGAACATTTCAGTGGTATTTAGAACATTCAAATGTTGTGCAACGACCACCTCTTTCTAGTTCCAAACCATTTTCATCACCCAAAAGGAAGCCAGTACCCATTAGGCAATAACTTCCTCTTCTCCTCTCCCCCAGCCCCTGGCGACCACTAATCTGCTTTCTGTCTCTACGGATTTGCCTATTCGGGGCGTTTCAATCAATGGAATCACACAATGTCTGACCTTTTGTGCTTATTCATGCTGTTTTGTACCTTGTGTTTTTCAGCTAAGAGTATATGGCGAACGTGTCAATGTGGTAGGTCTGCATGGTTTTCCGATGTGCGTATGTGCTAGTATTTATATTATCAGCCTCCTTTGGTTGGCCAGCCAGGACATTTGCTTTAGCTGAGTCTATACTTGTGCTTGCTGAGCTCAGCTTCCCACCGAAGCAGCCCAGAGCAGGCACTTCCTTAACCCCTTTCCTGAGATCAGCAGTAGAATGGCTTTGCAACTTTGTAAGACCTCTGAAAATATCACCTAAGGGATGAAGAATAGCCACCAGGAAGAAAACCTTAAGGGGATCATTTTTATCCAAGTAAGGCATACAGAACTGGAAAGTTCTTGTCTGAACTGTCCCATGATTTTACGCTGGGTAGCTGTTTTGAAACAGACTTTACTGCACGGACCCTTGGCAGGAATGGAAATGAAAGATGGAAATCTCTGGGAAATAGACGGCTGCTCTGTGACTTTCTTGAAGGATGTTGTTAGTCTGGGGTGAGCTGCCTCATTTCTCAGAGGGCTGTATCATGCCATTGTTTTGTTCTCAGCTGAGGGGCAGCACAGGGGAGGTGAGGACTGGCTGGGGCTAAAGAGAGTGGGGGCCAGTGTGGCGGGAGAGGAGGGAGCAAGGGGGGACAGTGGTGGGAAGGAGGTCAGAGAAGACGGAGGGAGGTAGCTTGGCTCTGACCTGTAAACTAAGGGCTTTGGCCCTGAACCCGCGTGGAGCGCCAGGAAGCCATTGGAGGGTGATGTATATAATATTTCTTGGAGTAAAAGTCAGGTCTTTCTCAGAACTCCGGGAAATTTGTCCTCTGTTTAGAACCATCCTTGAACATCACCTTGCACTAAACGAAATTAAAAAAAAAAAAAAAATTCAATCCTTTAATCTGGGCCCCTCGGTGAAATCAGTTCTTTATCACCTACGGCCATCTGTTGTTCCGGCCACACAGTAAATAACTCTGGAGGTTTGACTTCTAAGGCGCTTATCTCTGTTGTTCTCTCCAGATTGGGAGAATTGATGTTTGAATGTTTCTTGGGGAACAGTGGCACATCTAAAATGGATCTCTTTCCACACCTCTTGTTTGGGAAGATGTGGGAGGCTTTGAAGGGTGGAAACTGTTTCCCTTCTGATCTCCAGGTTCTAGTAAATTTCACAAATGAGGCTTGATGCGAAAGTAGGCGGGACAGAAAATGCCCCATCCCCTTGGCCCCATGCCCGAAACACTCTTTCTCACCCCCCCTCCAGGAGGCCAAGGCAGCTGTCAGATTAGATTAGGATTAGAGATAGCGGGGCCCTAACATGGGTCCAATTTCATTAATGCTGTCAAAAATGAACTAAGAGCTAATGGCATGGGATTATGCCTCCTGCTTGCAGTTTGAAAATTATTCGTGATGATGCAGGAATTAGGGAGACAGGATGGGTAGGGGCGGTGAAAGGCTGAACCTGGAGTTAAAAGGCCGATGCCCTGGCCTTCCTTCTGTCTGTGGAGAGACCCAGCACCTCTCCTTAAGCCTTCGTTCCCTTGTCTGTCGAACGTTGACTTAGTGTTCATTTGTACTTTTCACAAATTAAATGTCCATCACATATATAAGAGATAAAAGATGGATTCTCTAGGTGAAGCAGGGGTGCGGACCCAGGCCTCTCCCTCACCAGGCCGTCACCCCTCCCCACATAGCCCCTGAGGCTCCCAGTAGGCAGTTTGAAAACCACTGGTCTTGGAGAGGCTACCCAGTCACAAACGCCTACTCAGTCCTGCTCTCGGTGACCTGTCGCCCCCTACAGGGCACGGAGGGCAGCGCATGGAGTTTGCAGCCATGTACCTGGCAGAGGCCCTTTAGATGAAAGGAATGGCTTAGGCAAACTTGGGAGGTGGCAAACAGGGGGGCTTTCCTCAATTCATCTATATCTAACTGTGTGTATAAGACCTGTCCTGCATGCACCCACTATCCAGTCCAGAAGCAGAACAGTGTTACCTGCATGGATGGGGTCTGCTGTTAGGGGAACCCAGGGTGGGTTGCCTGATGTGATTTATATACTCTTCCAGCCTCCTCTACAAAGTTTTATTTCTTGCTATTCTTCCCTGCTTACTATGTGCTAAGTGCTATGTCTCATTTATAACTTTTCATTGAAACATAACATACATGTTGGAAAGGGTAGACATCATAAGTGTCCACAGTGAACACACCATGTAATCAGCACCCAGACCAAGAATTGGAGCCTAGAGGCCCCTGTGCCCCACCCGGTCACTGCACACTGACGAGACCACTCTCCCGTCTGCTGACACCAGAGATCAGCTTTTCCTGTTTAGAACTTTATATAAATGGAATTAGACTGTGTGTTCCTTTTTTTTATTAGGAGTGATGGATTCATTCTTTTTATTATTATTATTTTGTTGTTGTTGTTGAGAATATACACAGCAAAACATACACCAATTCAACAGTTTCTACATGCACAATTCAATGATAGGGATTACATTCTTCAAGTTGTGCAACCATTCTCACCCACCTTTTCTGAGTTGTTCTTCCCCCGTTAACATAAATTCACTGTCCCCTAAGGTTCCTGTCTAAATCTTTCGAGTTGCTATTGTCAATTTGATCCCACACCGAAAGTTCTTAAAAGAGCGTAATGCTCAAGGCAGACATTCTGTACTAGTTAAGCTAAACTATTGTTTGGTTTTAAGAAGACTTCAGGGGATATTTTTGGTTTAAGTTTTAAAGATTACCTCAGGGCAATAGTTTTAGGGGTTCATCGAACCTTCATGGCTCCAGAGTGTCTGGAGTCCATTACAATTTGAAATTCTGTGCAACATTTACCCCCTTTTGAACAGGATTCTTCTATAGAATCTTTGATCAAAATGTTCAGTAGTGGAAGCCGGGCACCATCCGGTTCTGGTCTCATGGCAAAGGAGGCAGTTGTTCATGGAGACACTGCATGTTCTCTTGATCTGGCTTTTATTTTGCTCAGTGTTATGTTTGTGAGATTTATCCAAGTTGTTGCATAAGTTTATTCACTCTCTGTGTAGTTTGTAAAAAGCTCTGTAGAAACATATGGATTACGAATGAGAAATATATTTTTTCTATATGTAAATTTCTATAAATACATAAGTGTCATACATTTCATATATATTATATATATAACCCACTGCCCTCAAGTTGATTCCAACTCATAGCAGCCCTATAGGACAGAGTAGAACTGCCTCATCGGGTTTCCTAGGCTATAATCTTTTTTTTGGATTTTTTTCTTTCTTTTTTTATTGTTGTGCTGTAAGTGAAAGTTTACAATTCAAGATAGTGTCTCATACAAAAATTTATACATACATTGTTATGTGACCCTAGTTGCTCTCCCTATACTGTGACAGCAGACTCCTCCTTTCCATCCCAGATTTCCCGTGTCCATTCAACCAGCTCCTGACCCTCTCTGCCTTCTCATCTCACCTCTGGAGAGGAGCTGTCCATTTAGTCTCACGTATCTACCTGATCTAAGAAGCACACTCTTCACGAGTATCATTTTATGTCCCGTAGTCCAGTCTAATCTTTGTCTGAAGAGTTGGCTTTGGGAATGGTTTTAGTTTTGGGCTAACAGAGTCCAGGGGCCATGTCTTCCGGGGTCCCTCCAGTCTCAGTCAAACCATTAAGTCTGGTATTTTTACTAGAATTTGAGTTCTGCACCCTACTTTTCTCCTGCTCCATCAGGGACTCTCTATTGTGTTCCCTGTCAGGGTGGTCATTGGTGGTAGCCAGGCACCATGTAGTTCTTCTGGTCTCAGTCTGATGAAGTCTCTGGCCCTTTCTGTCTCTTGGGCTAATATTTTCCTTGTGTCTTTGGCGTTATTCGTTCTCCTTTGCTCCAGGTGGGTTGCGACCAATTGATGCATCTTAGATGGCCACTCACTAGCTTTTAAGACCCTGGATACAACCAACCGAAGTGGGATGCAGAACGGGCTGTGATCTTTATGGAAGCAGACTGCCACATCTTTCTCCCATGGGGTATCTGGAGAGTTTGAACTGTGGACATTTCAGCTAGCAGCTCAGCACTTAACCGCTTCGCCACCAGGGCTCCTTATACATATAGTTCACATATATGTGTGTGTATGTATATATAGATAGATAGCTGCATAATACACAAACTGTTCTGCAGCAAATATACCAAGATTCATGTATGCTTTTTGCTGTTGATGGCTGTGAGCCATTTCAGTTTGGGGCTTTCATGAAGGACATGGTATCTTTTAAACCTCAGAGCAGCCCTCTAGGCAGATTCTGCTAGGATCGCTACTTTCTATGCAGGGAGGCAGAGGCTCAGAGAGGTGCAGGGCTCGCCCGCGGTGCACGGCTCCCGGCGGCGGCGCTGCGACTGCAAGGCCTGCTGCAGCCGACGCCGCCTCCGTCTCCCCACCCGCTCTGCAGGCCGAGGAGGCGGGC